AGCACCTACTTGGAGATGGCGCCGCTGGAGGACGACCTGGGCGAGAACACAAAGTGGTGGCGAGACCGTGTTCGAGATCGTTGGGTTCCAGTACCTAGCACCAAGGAGACTTTCACTTGTCAAGAGTCGATGGCGTTCTACCATGCCCGAGACCGTTGCATGTGCCTGACCAAGAAGAAGGAGCCCCCAGGACATGTGAGCTTCGTGAAGCTTCCTGAAGTCCTCAAGAAGGTCTTCCGGAAGTCCCGAGATAAGGAGATCAAATCCCGAAGTGTCAGCAAAGTCCCGGTGGACCGTTGTGGGATGGCGTGATCCGGAAGTTCACGCCATCGAGAGATCCGCGCCGACGCCTTTGACAACATCCATTTACCTGACCATGCAGGTGGCGGCATGTCGTCGCTGGAATGGCCATGTCCGTGATGTCAAAACGGCTTTTCTACAAGGAAAGCCGACGACAAGGCGACAGAAACTAGCAGTGAGGATGCCAAGCTGTGAACACTTCCCAGGCTACGACCCGCGGCAACTGATCTTGCTTCTCACGGAGATCTATGGACTGGTGTCGGGTCCCAGCTGGTGGCGAAAGTCCCTGTTGGAGGTGTTGATCAAGGAGCTCGGCTACCGCCTCAGCGCCTTCGACAAGTGTGTGCTGACTTTGGACGCCGACCCCGCAAGTCAGGATGAGGACCCAAACCAGACTCAGGGCATCATCGTCGTGGAAATCGATGACCTCCTGGAGGCCGGGTCTTCAAGACACAGGGCCAAGATGCTGCAGCTGGAGAAGAAGTTCAAGTTCGGCAAAGTGACCAACTTGATGGAGGCCGTGGACGGATCTGGATATGCGGGACGCCGTCTACGACAAAGAGAAGACTTCAGCTTCTCCTACAGCATGAACGACTACGTCGCCAACAGGCTCCGCAAGATGAACTTCGATCCTCCCAAGAAGGCGTCCTCGCAGGTGGTTCTCACTGGAGATGAACAAACACAACTGCGTGGTGTGGTGGCCGCAATAAACTGGACGGCGCGTGAGGGGCGTCCAGACGCCGCTGCTGCTGCGTCAATACTTTCGGGGTGTTTCCCTGACCCCAAAGTTTCTGACGCCTGGGCAGTCAATGCCGTTGTTGACCACCTGAAGGGGACTCAGGTAGAACTGCTGGTCCATGCCCTGGACGAGAAGAACGTCAGGCATGCCGTGATCAGTGACTCCTCCTTTGATCCATCAGGGAGGAATAAACCACAACACGGCTGGCTCCAGGCGGTGACCACCCCGAAGCTGAACGCTGGAGACCGGGCTCCGATCTCCCTCATTGCTTGGAAGTCGAAACGTTTGAAACGTAAGGCTGGCAATACTCTTCTGTGCGAGAGCATTTCTTTGTCAACGGCTATGGGTGCTCTTGAAAAGCAAGTAGCCACCTGGAAGAGTTTGACCCAGTCCAAGTTCCGGGCGAAGGACCTCGAAGACGCGGACGAGCTGGAGCGCGTCCTCAACTCCTCTCCGTCGGTGATAGCGGCCGAAGACCAGCGCTACTCCGATCCCGAAGTGGTCGCGATAGCCGATGCCAAATCGCCCTTCGATGCCCTTCATTCTGAGCAGGCTAGTGGCGAAGATGATAGATCTGCTTTAGAAATAGCGATAATTCAGGAGTCACTCCAGAAGCTGCATGGTCGCATCAGGTGGATTCCTCATAATGTGAACCCCGCCGATGCATTGACCAAGCTGCAAGGGGCGCATATGCAACCCCTTATGAGACTCCTGAGAACCAATCACCTCCAGATCGAACAGGAAGAACACGTCCTTCGTAGAGAGAAGCAGTCTGACCGTAGGCTTAAGAGTTCTGCCTGTTAGAATTTTTGGGGGCTGATGTTGCATTTCTAGAGTCCTAGACTCATGAGCAGACAGAACTTACGATCTCGCAGGCCTTGGGTCAAGTGGTGCGCAGGTGAAAACGTCGCTTGCATCAGCTTTTTGCTGTTAAGATTGGCGTTCGCCGCCAAGAGGGCCCCATGCACACCGACCGCATACAAACCCGGCATCAGTGGGTCTCCTTGTTCGCCTTGCTCGACGGTGTGGGCACCCCCGTCAGCATCATAGTAGAGGTATGTGCTTTGCGCGCCATAAAAAAGGCGGATGAACGGGACAAGGGACCGCCAAACGCGCATCCCACCCCAAGCCTTCGAAAATGGCGGCCCGCGCAATGTGATCGTAGGCGCCGACGCCATCAACACTGAGCACGGTGGTGCGGCGTCCCGACGCCGTGGCCAGATTTAGCTCGCGCGCCAGGGCTTCCGATCCAGCCTTGGTCGACAGCGCGTATTGAAACGGCGTGCAAAGTGCCGGGAAAGCCTCGGCGGCTTGCAAGTCCGAGAGACGAGACGCTTGAAGACGTTTCCCATGACTAAGGCACGCACGCCGCCAGATGGCTTGGTGAGGGCAACCATGCGGCCGATGCGCAATCCAGCCACCACGTCCGAAGGGATCAGGCCCTGCACTAAACAAAAAGCTGCGTGGTGGAAGAGGTCGGTGCCTTCCTGTTCATCTTGGAGGACGCGGAGGTGTTCGGCGGTGGCTCCTCATGGTGAACGCCAGACGGCATGGCGGCACTTTTGATGTGGGTGCTTCAGCGTCGGGTTCGTGTGGCAGCAACGTTTTGCTTTGCAGACGGCATGGCTTGCTATGCTCCACACGATGGCGTGCAAGTTCTGATTGCATACGGCATGGCTTGCAGTTTCAGCAGGCCTTCCCCCTACAGACGGCATGGCTTGCAACTAAAACAAGTTTTGCTATACAGACGACATGGCCTCCAGTTCTGGTTCTTGCTCATTTGGTGGCATGACTTCAAGCTCTCAACCTGGTCCGACTGTGACATCGGAAGAGCCCCACCTTCGAGCACTTGCTGCGGAACTGCAGTCGAACTGCTCGGCAAAGTTTTGCTTTGCAGACGGCATGGCTTCAGAACGAGCCGCAGCCGTACAGCTCAACCAAGTTTTGCTCTACAGACGGCATGGCATCAATATAAGTTTCTCTCTGCAGATGGCGTAGCCTGCTTTACTCGGCAGACGGATGCAGTGCAAGTTTTGCTCTACAAGCGGCATGGCTTGCAGTTCGAACAAACATTGCTTCACAAACGGTCAATTGCTCAACCAAGTTTTGCTCTGCAGACGGCATGGCTTCAGTACGAGCCGTTTTCTTCTGCAGACGGCATGGCAAACACTATCAAACACTGCTTCACAAATGGCGTGGCTTGCTGTTAAGCTATGCTCTACAGAAGGGAAGTTTTGTTCTACAGACGGAAGGCTTCAAAACAAGTTTTCCTCGGCAGACGGCGTGGCCGACACTGCTTCACAAAAGTTTTCCTCTGCAGATGGCGTGGCGAACACTACTTCACAAACGGCATGGCTTGCGGTTAGGTCATGCTCTACAGAAGGGTTTCCTCTGCAGACGGTATGGCCTTGCAGTTTGAGAGAGTGACTGCCCTGGACGAGAATTGCGGAGCCGTACACGGAGATGTTCGGGGCCTGCGCAGTGTACAGTTCCAGTATGCGCTCCCTCGAATGTTTCGTCAATTGGGTGCATGACGGGTACACGCTTCTTTTGTGAGTCTTCGTAAGTAGGGCTTAGAGCTTGTCACCTCGCAGCTGCGGCAGAACGGGAGGGAATAATACAAGCTGCGGGGCTATGGGTACGCCTTCTGCGTCCGCCTGATACTTGTGTAGCTGCACAAGTTGCTCGCCAGGCAACTGCTCACCCATGATTTTGGTTGACGTTGCTTCAACGTGAGTCGCCTGCTGGTGTGCAGTTGTTTCCTGAATGTGGTATTCATGTTGGTTGCACAGCACGTAATCGCAAGTTGTTGTGGTGTGTGAAACATCTTTTGTTGACTACGCATTGCTTCCTGCCCGCTGTTTTCAGCCTTTTTGCCATTTTCTTATTCCATTCTTTTTGTTTTCCCGGCCCTTTCCGTGTGTTCAGCGTATTTCAGCCATCCGCCATGCAAACAAGACAGGGTTGGCTACAAAGTTTCGGAGGCGGTGTGAACAAACACGCGTTCGAGATTTTTTTGACTTGGACCCCACATCTCGAGCCCTGCTGCTGTCCCAGTGGGCCTCTGGCCAGCTGCGCCTTGAATGTCGCCCCAAGCAATCCAGACCTTGCAATCGTTGACTCCGCGGCTCTGCCGTTGTGGTGGGGTGTTCGATGCGCTCGGGGATCATCGCTCCGCCTGCACCCAGTGCGGGGTCTTGCACACATCCAGGGCTTTTTGAGCAGGCGGCAGCCCGCTTCTGCTGTGAAGCCGGCGCCCGCGTCGCCGCCAGTGTTGCCCTCCGAGACAAGGACGTGGATGTCCCAGGCACGGATGGCCGCAGAATCGGTTGACCCAACGCTCGTTAGCCGCCCACAGCGTGACGGGCGTGACGTGAGGCTCGGGCTGGCATTGCTACCCTGAACTGAAATCATCATGCGTCGGCAAGACCGGAGGGGCACAGGCCGAGTGCGGCCGTGCTTGCGACAGCTGCGAAGCCGGAGGAATTCGTTTGAACAAGACAGCCCTTACAAAAACAATGCCGCATGCATCTCGAATCATTGAAACGTTTTGGCAACTTTATTTTCTTCCGTACCTAGCTGGTGGCGGCCCCGTCTCAAGGTCAACTGCGGGCGCGGACATGTAGCGATGATAGGGTCCCCCCACCTTTACGCCTCAGGAGGCTACATGTCATGTCTACATCCTATGTGGGAGACGGCGGCCCATACTGCCTTAGTCCCGCAACAACGAGCCCCGTCCCGCCTCAGGCACCGGACGTGCCCCTACATCGGGTGTGTGGGGCATGTATTGTTGGCTTGCTCAAGGATATCCCTTCTTGCAAGATAATGGCGAGGGGCGGTTTCCAACATGTAGAGTCGCGAGGGCCAGAAGGAGAGGCAACCATAGCCGGCACAGCGAAGGGACACAATTGTTAGAATCATGCCTGCGCGGCTTTAGATTATGCATTGCGAGACAGCCAAGGCCATCAACATGAGGGAACAGTTCTCTGGCTTGGAGACGAAGCGCTGTTGCGAAGAGAAAACTGAAGCAACTTGCGTGTCTTGCTGTCGGCTACTTATTTGACAGTTGTATGCATGCCGACAGTCACATCCGGCGTATCTTCGTCGTTGATTGTTACCGTAAGGTCAGGAGCACTTTGCATCACGGGGTGACAAATGCGCCTTGGGAAGTGCTTATGTGTGCTTCGCAAAGTATGCATGGGAAAGTAAACCGAGGTGTTGATGTGTGCAGCTCTATGTGCTCATTTGGGTGGAACGCGGCAAATCAAAAAGTTCCCCAATGTCCGGAGAAATTGGGAGCCTTGGCTGCCATAAGTTCCATGCACGACGCAGGCATTCTTGACATGTTGCATTTTGCAAGCACGTTTGTGTCTCTGAGCACATGACAACAGTATGCATGTTTTGCTTGTGCTGACGGAGGATCTTGCATGTAAGGTTAGTTGTTCTGTTGATCAAAACCAATATATTCAGCAGCATTGGTTAGTGACAACTGCTGCTACTGCTGTTGCTCATGTACCAGCCACGAAAATAACCAAAAGGAGGCATACGATGACGACACTCCAAACCAATGCTTTCCGCCACACCTTGTCCTCCAGTTCGGGTAAAGTTTTTGTGGGTTTAGAGGTCGGACATTTTTGTATATATGCCGGTCCTCGGGTTGCAGGTCAAAGTTGCAGCGTTTTGTTCTATGGTTTAGGGTGGTCGCCAGGTTTGGGAGGTTCTTCGCGATAAGAACTCGGGTTAGATGGTTTGGGTCAGGGTTCATGGTTGGGCTTTTTGCTATAAGCACCACATCAACAGTACGACTACTACGACTAGTTACTGCTGCTGGTCCCTATCATTATGTTCGATATTTCTGATGTATTATTAGTACTGGTACTCTTGCTTCCGCAACTGTTATTAGCTGCCACTGATCTGTTACAAACATTACGACTACTACCACTACTGCTGCTACTACTACTACTGCGACTACTATTACTAGTACTAGTACTA